TACTCTTCATCTGAATTCCTCTACTTCTTCATACAGAAGTTGGAGACCAGCCAATGTGAACTCTCTTGTGTACATTTCATTGTCTTACTTCTTGGCCACGGCTCACGGGCCCAGCCGCTCCACGGCATGTGGGATCTTCCCGGACCGGGGCACGAACCCACGTCCCCTGCATCGGCAGGCGGACTCTCAACCACTGCGCCACCAGGGAAGCCCTCATTGTCTTACTTCTGATTAGCCACCATTACTTCCCTAAGCCCCTCACACACACAGTCTGCTCCGTCTCAGACTTTTACAGCGCCCTGTGCTTATTACCATACCCATTTTCTCACATTCTTTTTCTACCTAGAAGGCCATTTCCCATCCATGCTCCACCAACACTTCAGGTATGATTGAGGCTTAACCTTCTCCATTAAAAAAGTCAAATATTTAAAAAATTCCAAATCCTTTTCCCCCCTCTTTAAACTCCTATTAAAATTTAAGTCAACAGCACATTGTTTGGAATGTTTTTTCTTTAATTTTTTTCTAAAGCCTGTTGGCGATTTGCTTCTCCAGTCAGGTTGGCATTTGTAGTAAGGAGCAAGAGAATGAAAACGTTGCTGGGGCTGCTTGAAAAGCTGCAAGGCTGACGTGGAGGTATCAGAGGTGAAGCTGTGCCTTGTGATACAAAGATCTAGGAAAGCTGGGTTGGATATGCTGGCACCTGTATGGTGGCTTGATATCCATTTTAAAGTTCATGGACTAGACTTACACAAAGACTCAATACTCTAAGCCCAACCTATAAATTTAGTATAAGTCCTGTCAGGAAAACAGAATCCTCGGCAGATAGTTCATTAGAAGGAATTTAATCTAGGAAAGAAGTTATATGATGATGGAAGAGCTGAAAACTAAACAGAGGATGATAAGGTAAATCAGGAATGAGCAACAGCAGAAAGATACTGCCATCTCTAGAATCCAAGGGAGAGGCAGTTGTTATCATGGGCCTGGGAGTCAGGCCACCCAACAGGAACCAAAATCACGGCAGAGGCTGCCCTGTGAGAGCTGGGACTATGGAGGAAATGCAGAAGCACACAAAGATGAGAGAAATAGCCTGGCTTATCTGCTCTCACAGCCAATCTCCTACCAGTGCCTCCCGTTTGCTAAACTTAGCAGAAGCCCCTTGGCAATAGAACCAGGGAAATACAGTTTGTAGGGTTAGGGACCAGTGATACAGAGCAGAGCAGGGGGAAGTGTGGGGAATAAATTTGAAACACAATGAACAAGTGATTTATATACTATCCATCTATCTGCTATAAATACATATACACACATACACGCACTAAAACTTTGAAATATAGTCAGGGTGTAGTCAGCAAAGGACTATAACATCTTGAATTGCAAAACTTAGGTGAATGTCACTATTTAATTAAATAACAAACTCTACAAAATATTTTTATGTGTGTATGCATAATTCTTTACAATCCAGAAAGATTTTTATAGCTATTTGCCTTGAGAAAATAAATCCCAAGTTTGAAGTATATAATGAAATTCTATCTCTAAACATTACTCAATTAGGAACTCGGGCGAGGGGGGAATAAAAGGTTGAGTTCCTATGCTTATTACATGCTACACTGCCTCTCCCCCAGTGGCCACCTCATCCATACTGATACTTAGCATTCTTCTAAGCTATCCCTTACTTTGGTTCTGAATTATTTTCTGCTATTTTACTAACTCACTTCTTCAAGCAAATTCTGCTTCAAACACATTCTCCCCTCACTCTCCAAAGTAAAGAGAAAGGCAACTGAACTTCATTAAGTGAAATCATTGTGTGTACTTTACCGCTGGTTCAGTATTTGATGTTGTGCACCTTGGACTATAAGTGAAAGTGATTGTGTCATTTTTGACATATTCACATTTTTCTGGCACAATCCAGAGACTAATAATAATGCTATTTAGAAAAATAGCAGTACTCCTGATAAAATTGTTCATAAAATGTATGAACCTTTATTGAACTGTATTTTTCAATATTTTCCTGCTATTATGCAGTGGAACAGAGAAACAACATTGAAAACATTCCCATTAGAGTCCTTGTTTCTTCTGGAAAGGTCTGTTCTAAAGGAAAAGTCACATTTCTATGTTTTTGCGGATCAGTCTTTCCTTCTCATTCAAGTGTTGCCTACTACACAGCTCATCCCAGAGTGCTGCCAAGGTTTGTGTCATTACACTGCAGTAGATGCCAATAAAATAGCACTTGAGACAAATGAAAACAGCAATACCTGTTATTATCAAATACACTTCTCAGTTATCACTGCAGAATGAAATACTGAAAAAAGCTAGATGACGCATGACTGTTCGTTAGGAATGGCAATATAAGTACAAATAAGAGGCATCAGAAGAGAATTAAAGGTGATGAGTCTGACCTCTTTAGTAAACTTTCTGGTCACAGGAACAAATATGCAGCACGTTAACTAAGAATAAGATGCTGAGCTATAGGCAAAGGGTACAGCACCTAAAATTTCTCCAGCTTCAGATTTATTCTTTGAAAACAACTTCAGGGACGATTCTACATAAAATGAAGTATTTTTATATATACATATGCTCAGTGATTGTTAAAACAGGAACACGGTCTATAGTATGAATTTCATTAACTAAATCCAAGAAATTATTTTAATGCCTATTTAATTATATTTGATGTTAAGAAAAGACCCTCTAATACATCTGAACTAAAGCTGTTTTTCAAATACTTCAGCATTCAAAGATGAACATAACATACAGAGCTATTATGAGCCAGGCATATTTCTATCTGTTTATATATACCAATGACTTCTATTTTCAAAACAACTGTGATTTTTTTCATCCCCATTTTAAAGATGAGGAAACTGAAGCACAAAGATATTAAGGAACTTGTCCAAAACTACACTGCTGGTAGTGGTGAAACAGATTCAATCATAGACAGACCAATTTCAGAGTTTCTACTCTTAAACACCACTACCTTGGGTTAGATATTTGTAAGGTCCAGCTGTTCTGTTCTAGGGCGCATGGTCAAATAGTTTGGGAACCCAGGGAGAAATATGTAAGTTGTAGCTTGGTGAAGTAAGAAGTAACTACAATGAAAAAAAGTCTTAAGAAGACAATGATACACATTTATTTAAGGTCCACTACATGCAAAAACCTTAGCTAAAAGCTGGATGTAAAAAAGATGAATGAATTTTTCCTTAAATTTACAATCTCCTTTTCAATGACTTTATAAGCCAGTGGAGGAACTTATATTTTGTGGAGACAATTAGCTCACTGTCAAATGTGTACTACTAAACTCCTATGAAGGGTGCAGCATGAAATTAAAGAGAAGAGAATGCCATGAAATCAAGATTCTTACAATCTCAAAACCACATACACCAAAAATACCTAATTAATTCTGGATACTTAAGAATTATTTAATCTATTTCTTAATAGACAATTACATCTTCTAATATCTTTTCTTATAACACAGTGGGTTCCCCCAAATGACCTTTCCTCTCCTGGGTCTTGCTCATGGGGTTTTCTATCTAGTGTGATTCTAAACTACCTTCATCAAATTTCTATCCATTTTCCAACCCTGCCTCACAAGTAATCCTTTCATAAAGTTTTCTCTTAATTCCCAATCCAAAATATTATTTTTTCTTGCATTTATAACACTAGTTTTGGGTTTATATATATATATATATTATGTATTCTACATTATATTATTTTTATATCGGACTTTGCTTATCTTCACCACTCTATTAAGGGCTACATGGGAACCTCTTTATTTTGTTCATCTATCTATTCTCAACAGTATTTAACATAGTTCCCAATAATAAAGAGATGTTTATTAAATGATTATTGACTTGGACCTTCCTGATAAAAAGAGGGTCTACAGCTAAGTTTATTTTTAATGTGTAATTTAACCAGTCTATATGAAGAGGAATAAAAACTATATTTGTTTAGTAACTTGAAATAATGTTAACCACTGACAATTTTAGCTATTTTATTTCATATGTGTATATCTGTTATAATATATATAGTGATATATTCCATTCTTATCCCAAGGTAGCTTATGTTTAGGAATTACCTAACTTCTATGGTTTTAGATTTGCCACTCAAGACTGCATTATTATGGAGTTTTGCATTTGTTTATACAATTAGATGCAAAAATATGCTAATGTATAAGACTGAGATGACAATTACACAGGAGTCAGAAAACTCTGTTAAAGTTCCCAAAGCAACTATAATTTATTTTTGAAAATATCAATGAAAATATGTATTTTAAAAATGTGTTCTCCTGTGGTGTTAAAAACCTAGCACAAAGGAAACTTGAGGTAGTATCTGAGAAGGAGGGAATAAAGTGAAAAACCTACACATGGAGAAATTTCACTATCTTAAACAGTTAAAAACTTTTTAAAAGAGCAAACAAACTATGTAGTTGATGAAATGCCCTTTGAATATAAAATAATCTTAAAGTTCCAATAATGCAAGGTGTTAATAACTGAGGAAAGCATTTCTAAGATATATAATTTGGGTCTTTCCTGAGACCCTCTAGCTATAGAGTTGCTATAGCAGTGCTACTAAAGAAAATTAATGTTTGTAATTAGACCAAAGCTTTAATACCATAAATCCCACTACAGCTACTTATTTTCAAACTGTTAAGGATCTGTGGCTATTTTCGAGACAGAAATTGTTCAGTTAACTCCATTTAAGATTCCGATTTGATTGGATCCTGTCTCAATACACACACACACACACACACTCTCTCTCTCTCTCTCTCTCTCTCTCTCTCTGTCTCTCTCTCTCTCTTTTTCTCCCCTAACAAAATGTGTTTGGGGGTTCTGTACTTAGAAAAACTGCTGTGAATATTTTAGTTTGTTTAGGATATGACACATTAGAGCAAATAACAGGGCATTAACACTCTCCAGTGGTAAAAAAAAAAAAAAAAAATCCATACAAATTATAAATCTCCATCCTTCACACTGTGATTTTTATGATATTTTAATAATAGCCACAGTTCTATTCCTTGATAGTTATTCAAGTAAATATGTTTTCTTTCTTCCTTTCTTCCCTCCCTTCCTTCTTTCCTCCCCTCTCTATCCTTTTATTCTTTTTTTCTTTATCTACCTACCTACCTATATATCCTTAAATCTTATATTTATGAAAGCATAGTGAAATAATCAACAGGAGACCCTCAGAAAGGATAATTTAACTTAAGATTTACAAAGAAGAGAAAAAGGATTTCTAAAATGCGTTACCTATATTTATGCCAGATCATAATCATATAAGAATTTCTGATGAGTCAGCACGCATCTAAGACAGTATACTGATGAATGAAAATCACAATGATACCATAGCTGTATAACTTTGGTATAGAGAAATGAACTCTGTTGCTCTTCTGAAAAATTTGCATAACACCATTTTGCATGACCAAGTGTTAGGAGGAGTCTCATTTAGTTTTTGAGAACTCATCAAGATCTGTCAGACAACACCCAGCGAGAAACTCACAAGAAACTGAGCAGTAAACAGAAATATATAAACCAACATTGTAATCCTTGTATAACGGTCTCCAAATGATCATTTGGCTTGCATAAGGATTAAACCATCAGATTCTTAAATAAATGAAAACTCTGAACTCTGTGAAATCAGGTCTCTAGCCAAATAAAAATACGCAAAGAGAAGTTGTTACCTGAAGATGAAAAGTCGAGAAGCCATAATACAGTAGTTATGACTACTGCCCCATACACATGACTTTTTCTGGAACAATAGAGTTTTAAAAGCAGGAAAGGCAACTTACCTAAGGAGAGAAGGAGAAAAAAAAAAAAAAAAAGTTACTATCAGAGAACTTTAAAAACATCTTAAGCATAGCATATATGTTGATAGGCAGAGCAGGGTCTGAACACATAGATAAATTACTAAATCCACTATGTATTCCCACTATAACTTTCTATTTTCCAAACCCCTTTAAATGTTCCTTGTTTCCCCATTCCTGGCCTGCTTTCTCCTATCTACCCTCATTTCACACCAGTATTTGCAGTTATCTCCTTCTCAGGATGGTTGAACTCCACTATCACTGAAATGTTCCTCAAAATGGGTAATTTCATTTCAAAAATAAAGAATCAGGAAATTTAGACTAGATTCCAGACTTTACTTCTTACTAGAGTACCACCTTTATCAAGACAAACCATCTGTGAACTGAAGGTGATTAAATAATTGAATTTATGTCAGCTTCTAGCTTCAGAATTCTAAGCTGTTGAGGGAAGGCAACCAGAGTGGCCAAAATAAATAATTTCTAAATAAAGTATCAGATTTAATAGCTCTCAGTTGGGATAAAATTTGGCAGGCTAGGTTCTTCCCATATCAATTGCCTTATTTTAGTCACTAAGATTAGCTATACTGTGCATAGGCAAGGCTGATTTGACAGCCAAGGCTCTGGGCTTATAGAAGGCTATGAATTGGAATTTATACAACTGCAATATCATTTGTAAAAGAAAGAAGAGTGGAACTGGAGGTAAAATGTGGGATTGTGGGAATGAACTGAGATGACTTGGTAAAATGGATCTAGTTGCCCCAAGATGACTTTCAAACTTCTAAGTTCAAAGGCCAATATTGCTCAGTGCCCTTGTCACATGGAATACCTATCAGCACATATAGGAAATGTGTGTGTCCATAAGGATACATAAGCAGACAAACTATAATATTGTTGGGAGCCAGGAAAGGGCTGGCTCTCTCAGGAAGGAAGGTGCCGTAGTGTTTGCAAAGCACCTAGTGCAACCTCCATTTCCTTGGGAACCAGCTTGGAAAATTCTCTAGTTGCACCACCTTAATGTTTCTCCTGATGGAAGCTGAAGTGTTCATTTTACGCATTGACTAATTTATGAGTTCAGTGAGAAATTCTTTGTAAAATAAATTCTAGAAAAGAGAGAGAACCTGAAAATGAATTCCCTCTGCACAACATGTGTGTATGGTCCCATTAGCAGTTGCACAGTGGGCAATCGATTAGGGAGGGAAAAATGGCTTTTTTTATGGTAATGGATTTTGAGCCTCCTGGTGATAATTTATTTACTAGAAATTTTGCAGAGTTGGCTAGCATGCTGATGAAAACCCTCTGAACATGTTCATTTAAAAAGAGGAAAAAAGTGGCTTGGCTTCTTTTTGAGAAATATTGTTATTAAATCATTGGAAACATATTGATAAAATATGCCTGAAAGCTACAGTCCTGTAATTTATAATACAAATTACATTGCTATTGACAAATGGCAATTTAATCCTGCAAATTAACTTTAACAATTTGAATTTCTCTGTTACATTTTTTTTTTAAAGAAAAACCTTGAAAGACATTCAGTAACGCTGTGCTAGGCTGGTCAACAGTGCTGAGTTTCTTTAAAAGCAATCCCATCTCCCTCGTATTTCTTTTTGTAGAGTCATCCTATCCCTCTACAGACCAAAGTATAAAACCAGGATATTTTCACCCTGACTTTCAATTCCTAGAGAATCCTGAGATAAAAGGTACTCCCTTACCTCAAATTTCCTTAATATAGAATGTCAGAATGGCAGTTTGGCTTGATTCAAAGAATGTGAACTTGAGAATCAGAATGACCAATGTTTCTATTTCACTTCCATCACTTAACTGGCTCTGTGAGATGGGGTAAATGCAGTTTTTTCACTGAACCTCCATTCCTTCCCTATTTTGGAAAAGGTGTAGAAAAAATGAAGCAACATGCATGTGCCACGTGCCTACGCTTATACTTGATATCCATTAGCCCATGCCCTACAACCCCCCTTCAAACAATGAGACCTTCCAGGGGCTAGCATCTTCCTCCATTTTTAGTTGGGGGAAAACCCTCTCTTTTCCACTCTACTCAGAATGTGGGAGTGAGGTGCTCATTAGCAGGGACAATTCAGTACTCATTGATTCATACACATACGCATAATCTACTACTTGACTTAGGAAGCACAGGAATACTGGGAAGTAGGGAGAAAAAGCTAGGGATAGTTATTCATATTGGTTGGCCTTGCTAATACCTAGCTATGAAACTGTTATAGCAATAGTGCTAAGGAGGGGAAAGAGATAATAAAGGCTTTTGACTTTGGAGATACAGGTATTTTATGCAAATGAATATATGAGCCAATCAAAAAGAAATTATATAAAATATATCAGAAAGATAAAACAAGAATGAATATATATACACCTAACCATACAGTCCTAAAATATATAAACCAACAACTGACTGAAGAGAATTATATAAATCAAATATTTAGATTTAAACTACACTTCCCAGAACCAACCGAAAAAGCAGACAAAAGAAAAAAATGAGGAAAGATATGCAATATATTAAGAACATGATTTGAATAGTTTGATTTAAATAGACAAATATAGAACTTCACCTCCTATAACCGACAGATACATATTCTTTTCAAGTACATATAGAATATTCATAAAAACTGACTATATACTAATGAAAGAAAGCATAAATGAATTCCAAAGATTTATCATTAAGGCAATATTCTCTGACAAAAATACAATAAAATCAGAAATTATTCTTAAAAGGTAGAGCTAAGATGCCACAGTTTGTCTGGTAATGACAAAAAAGTCACTGATATTTCTAAACAAGTCTTTGGCTGAAGATAAAAAAAAAAAAGAGGAAAAGAAAAAGATTTTGAGTTTTCACCAATTACAGATTTTCTTTTTTAAACTACTCAGCCATAAAGAAGAATGAAATTTTGTCATTTGCGGCAACATAGATGGACTTGGAGGGCATTATGCTAAGTAAAATAACTCAGAGAAATACAAATACTGTCTGATATCAATTATATGTGGAATCTAAAAAATACAACAAACTAGTGAATATAACAAAAAAGAAGATGACTCACAGACATATAGAGAACTAGTGGTTACCAGTGGGGGGGTAGGGGGGCAACAAAGGAGTGGGGGAGTGGGAGGTACAAACTCCTGGATATAAGATGTACTGTACAACACGGGGAATAGAGCCAATATTTTGTAATAACTGTAAATGGAAAGTAACCTTTAAAATTGTATAAAAAATAAAAAGTAAGATAGAAGAAAAATAAAATCTTAAGATAAATTAAAAAATACTTAAGTGGCTTTTTCATGTACATTCAAAATCATTGGGCACAGATAACTTGTAACAGAGAGAAATTTGTAGCTTTAAGTGCTTTATCTGAAAACAAAAAATATTGAAAAACAAATGAGCTAAACATTTAAAGTCAAGAATTTAGTAAATACAAAAATAAAGAAAATATTAGAACAGAAATTATTGAAGTGAAAAGAGGTAATAAAACCAAAAACCTGGTTTTCTGAGAAAAATAATAAAATACAGAGACTTTTCACAATAAGTGAGAGAGAGAAACAGAGAGAATATGCCACTGATGGAAAGTGAGAAAAAGACACAACAGAGAATGAGAAAAATAATAAAATGTTTATAAAGGACTATTATATAAGAAATTTCCAAATCTAAACAAAAAGTATATCAGAAAAGAAATTTATAAATCAAGGCAAGAATAGAAAATTTAATAGATAAATAATTACATAACATGGTAATCAAAGATTTTCTTCCAAAAAAACCCCCCCAGAAAACAAAAAAAACCTAGGCCCAGGTGATTTTATAGATAAATCTTCCTAAAATTTCAAGAGATAATTCTTAAATTAAAAAAATTATTTTACAAAATAGGAAAATGGTAACTTGGTTTATTCAAATTCAAAGTATTAAATAAGAACAGTACAACAAATGGAAATTATAGGCCCATTAAAATTTTGAACATACATAAGAAAATTCTACTTAGCTAATCAAATCCATGAGTATATTAAAAATATTTATTAAAAATATTTATTCTATAAATTAAATAAAATCCCAACAAGAAAATTATAATGATATTTTGCAGAACCTAGCAAACCATACACACACACACACACACACACACACACACACACACACACACACCAAAGGGTAAAAAATAAAGTAAATAAGGCCAATTTTTGATAATGAAGAGCAAAGAGGGACATTCTCCTATCACATAATGAAAAGCACCGAAAAGGCAGTATTGTACTGATGAAGAAACAGAGATACACCTCTGCAACAGAAAAGAAAGTTCTTAAGTATATGAATTGTGAAGTATTATAAAGGTGGTTCTACATATCAGTGGGAAAAGGACTAATTTTTAGTAGATGAGTGTTAAGAAAACTAGTCCACAAATATGGAGAAAAATAAACCTAGATTTCTCTCCCATATCACGTTGAAAAATTGACTCAAAATGTGTTAAAATCCTAAAAATAAGAGGTAAACATATAAAGCTAAATGGAGAAAATGGAGGGGAATATGTCTTAAGGATGGAGAAAGGCTTTCTAAATAAGATCACCAAAGAAAAACAATTCGATAAAAAAATGAATGGTTTTGAGTACAACAAAAAAATTTTTGAAACTTTCATTTAATGAAGAGTGCCATTGGTATAGTTAACAAGTGAAAGATTGGGAGATCATTTTTCTATATAAAATGACACATGATTAATATTCTGCTTAAGCAAAGAACTCTTTAAAATCAACAAGAAGAAAGACAGGGAGCCCATAAGAAAAATGGATGAGGGATGAACCCTAAATGGTTAAAAAACAGTACGAAAACACATGCAAACTCTTCCAAAATGAGAAAAATGTGGAAAATGGAAATTGGCAAAATTTAAATCTGAATGATTCCAAGTGTGGAGTGAGCAGGAAGTGGGAAATAGGGAATCCCAAGCATTGCTGGTGGGAGTGTAAACTAGTATAATGTAATGGAGAGCAACTTGGCAGTACTTAGAGCAATTAATTAAACATATAGCCTCTGACACAGCAACTCCTGGACATATATCTGGAGAAACTTTTTCACAGATCTAGGAAGAGATCTGAACAAGAATGTCTGTATCACTATTGTTTATGTCAGTGCAAAAACTGAAGCCAATCCAAACATTCATAAAAGCGAGAACACATAAGAAAAATGCATTGGAGTCATCCAACAGAATACAATGCAGTTATGAGAAGAAACAAATTAAATGTAAATACAATGGAATGAGTAGATCCTAAAAATTATACTCAGAGGAAAATAAGAAACAGACTTTTTAGCACATCATTTATGTAAAATGACCCAAAAAACCAGCATTATTTATTGAACAAAGACAGACACATATTTAAGAATACATACCTAGCATATTAGCACAGCTGATTATGTCTGGGTAGGAATAAGGGAAATGAGTAATGGGAAAAAAATAAATCAGAGAGTGGCCATGCACAGATCAAGGTTGAAAGTGGACCACAATATGAGATATGGGACTAACTCAATATTCTGCTCCTGTTGTTAAGGAAGTGTTAAGAAAAACCAAAGTGGAAGCCACAGTTTGAACATACCCCTGGATCAAACACTCAAGTAACCAAAACGTAAAACTGCCCTATTTCCCTGAAATGTTTTCTGCATGTCAGCATGACCTTACAGTTCTTAGATAATCAGCTACAAGCAAGTAAGCTTACTCAGAGAAAAGGAATGTAAGTTTCTAGTAACCAACCATTAAAACACACACACACAAACAACAACAAATGTACTTTCTCATTCATGCTTTATGAACTGAGCGATAGCTACTGAGAGCCAAGCTTCTCAACCACTTTAGGTTGGAAGTCTCCCTGTTTTTGAATAGTTTCCTTCTTGCTCAATAAACACCTCATATCAAGGAAAGCTCTCTGAATTTTGACAGAAGAAAGGAAATGACAGGAGGAAGGGAGGAGAGGAGGAAGGGAGGGTGGAAGAAGGAAAGAAACTGAATATTTGGCAGTTATATAAAAAGAGCTCAAATATGATTAGACAAGTGTAAGTATTTTATATATAACATGCTAGTTAAAAATAAGGCCTAAGCTTGGCTCAAGAAGCTCAAGATTTCTACTTAGTGTTACTATGGTCAGATGAGAGGGTCCTTGAGTTTTTGGAATCCAGATGGCCCATCTCTGAGTCCCAGAGGCTCAGTGCATGATCTAGATTATACTCAATAATTCCATGTGTTTAGGCCCCAGAGTCCTTCTCAGGTTTGGTGAGGAGTCAGTCACAGTCAGGTCTCTTCACTGCTCCACGGCAAGCAGGTATTGCGAAAAATCCTGAAAATACTAGGTACAAAGAGCCCTCTAAGGTAATTTATTTCAATGATTCTCAATCCTGGCTCTGCCTCAGTGTTTAAACTGCACATGTCAAAACCCTCCCTCAGCTGTACAGAGAGAATCTCCAGTGATGCAGATTGCGAATCTGTCTTTTGGTGAGCTCTATGGGTGACTACAATGTTGCCAGACTGGCATAAGTAGGAGGGGCCATTGGAAACCACTCTTCCTTTTTTATTTATTTATTTTTTTTTGCGGTACGCGGGCCTCTCGCTGTTGTGGCCTCTCCCGTTGCGGAGCACAGGCTCTGGACGCGCAGGCTCAGCGGCTATGGCTCACGGGCCCAGCCGCTCCGCGGCACGAACCCGTGTCCCCTGCATCGGCAGGCGGACTCTCAACCACTGCGCCACCAGGGAAGCCCCACTCTTCCCTTTTAACTTGCATTCACTGCCGAGAATCCTCCCAATAGGTGTCCAGCTCCTTCTAGATATATTAAAACAAAATGGAAGAATAAGATGTCCGTAATTTGACAGGAGGGTACAATCTTATATTCTCCTTGCTAAATATGCTTTCTCTAAGCCCTTCCATGATTAGGTTGCCAGTAACTGAACTTTACTAACTACTGCCGAGGTTTTCTGAGGCAGGAGAGAGAGAATTTCACCAGATCATTGTTAAACTCCAACTAATGTTGTGTTAATTACAAGTATAACAAATAACCTTTAGGAAGAGGAGTAAATAGCCCTTTGGGAGTTATCTGAATATGAATAAATGCTAGTAGGTTTGCCCCTTCTTGTCCTTAGCATGCTACTGACATTTTGTCTATTATGGATATTGGCTCCTTTAAAAGACATCAATAATAGACTTTGAATATTTAAAATGGACATGAAAAATGAAACTATTTTGAGAGATTTACTCAAATTGTATGCAAATGTAATGCATGTTTAATGCCAATATATATGTGGTTCTCTTAACTATTTCCTATGCTTCACTGTACCTCTCAGTAAAATGCTAATGGCTCATCTGTGCTTCTTTATTCTATTCAGCAATTAATGTTAATACAACTTGTGTAGGTACCACACAGTGGCTAGAATAAAAGAAATGAAAGAAAAGGTCCCTGACCTTGAGAATATTACATTCTGGTTGGGGAGAGAATAGATGCCCCGAAATCACCCAAACAGACTCACGTTTGTGAATTACCTAGCTTGCTTAATAGCACCACTCACAGACCTCTGAGGACCAAGAGGAAACCCTGGGAATTATCCCAGACTCCTTTATCACCTCATGCTCATGTTCAATAAGTCACCAAACACCAGTTACCTTTCAAATCCATTTCCTTCTCCCTATCCCAAGACTTCTTTCTTAGTTCAGCTCAGTAGGAAATGATGCGATAACTTATAGAGCATCTCACTGGTTTCTCTGCCCTCACCCTTAATCCATGCTCTATTTTGCCTTCACAATGATTTTTCCAAAACTCATGGCTGACCAACCCATACTTAAAATTCTTCAGTGACTTCCTAAATAATATCCTAAATGCTTTACATAACATTTAAACCTTTCACAATTTTCCCCTAATTGGCTCTTCACTTTTTTAACTTACATCCTATTGTCAAGTCATAAGCAAAGACCTGCAATCCTACAATTTGTTGATTTACACCAACGATCAAGCTTCTACTAATGACAATACTTCCACTTGTAACAACTTCCCCTTTAATCCTCTTTCTCTTATGTGCTTGGTGAACTCCTATTCATTCACCTGGAGTAAGCTCAAATGATCGCTCTTCCCCGATACTGAGTCATATCACGCCTGCACTTTGAGATAGGTGCTGCTTCTATACATTTCCAAAGAATTCTGTGAATATCTTGTATCATTTTTCTTTTGTTCCAGTGGAGATAAAAAGGAAATCATATGTAACTCTAATAATGTGTACCTTCCTTTATGTATGTCCCTTCCCTTAGTAACAAGCCCCATCCAACTTCCACACCAGCCAGAATAATATGGGGAACTACTTTAAAGCCACACACACGGACACAAATACCTCAGAGTAACAAGGTAATGCCCCCACTATTCTGTAACTTCAGTTGCTTAGGACTATAGGGCAAGAGAGAACATAGTTTGCAGTTCATTTCGAAGTCCCAATTGATGGAGCACAACTTACACTATCACCACCGTCACCACCATATCACCATTGCTGCCACTATGACCACTAACATCATCCCTGGGGAACTTTACCACAGAGAGCCAGTGTTACCAATGGAATTGTTTTCTATCCTTTGGGTGAATTGGGGCTGAGGTAGGGCATGGTGGGAATATTTACTTCCTGTGCCCCCCCTTAGACTATATAGTTCTTCAGAGCATAAGCTAAGCTCTGTTTCTCCTTTTTCTTTTGTTTTTCTTTCTTTCTGTTTTCCCAGAATCTAGCAGAAAGTCTGGTACATGCTAAGCATTCATTGAATAATTGATAGATGGATGGATGAACAAATAAAAGAATGAATAAACAAATAAATAAGAGTGAATAAAGTATAAAGAAACTAGAGAATAGTTCCAAAGCTCCAGGTATAAGGGAATTTTTTCCTAGGTTGATGGGGTCAGACTGCTGAAACAATTGATTACAAGGGAAGGATCACTGTGGCATAAGAAAATTAAGGAAAGACTTAGGTGAGATTTGAGCTGGATCTTACTTCCCACCCCCCAAAAAAAAGAAAAGAAAAAAAGAAATTGAATAGGCAGAGAAAATTTTAAAAAGCACTTCCAGCTAAATATATAGACGGATATAGTGTTGTGAAAGGCAAAGGCCATACTGACTGTCACAGAGACTGTACAGGATCAAAAGAAACTATGAAGGAGTATCTTCACTGCTGGGTTGAGGAATTTACATTAATCTGGAATAGGTAACCCATGTAGGAAACTGGTGTAATGATGGCAGTGTTTGAAGAATTGATATATAAATTTCATATTTCATTTCTGAAATCAAGGGAAAAGCACTACATTGAGTCCCTTATATAAGCAGAGAGTTATACCCTCAGTTCATCATAATTAATATATCATCAGATATCTCGCAGGTTCTGAGAAGCACTTTTTTTTTTTTTTTTTTTGCGGTACGCGGGCCTCTCACCGTTGTGGCCTCTCCCGCCGCAGAGCACAGGCTCCGGACGCGCAGGCTCAGCGGCCATGGCTCACGCGCCCAGCCGCTTCGCGGCATGTGGGATCTTCCCGGACCAGGGCACGAACCCGAGTCCCCTGCATCGGCAGGTGGACTCTCAACCACTGCGCCACCAGGGAAGCCCCTGAGAAGCACTTTTTGAGTTCTGTATACTAGGATCCCTTTACTAGTAACTGAAATGGGGACATTTTGAGTACATTATGATTACTGTTTAACAGACAACAAAAGCAACTCTGTACAAAAGGGAAGAGTAGAAATTGAAGGTTTTCTAATTGAATCTGTAAGAAAATATAGAAAAGTGAAATATAATTTCTCAAAGGGAAGTGGTAGGAAACAAACAGTTCAAAGCCAAATATCATGGACTCTTACATGGCTATAAATGATTATCTTGATTTTACATTTTATTTGAAAGAAAAATAACTTGAATTACCTCCTAATCCTGTATCTTAGATCTAGTTCAGAATTAATTCATGAAAAATTCATTGTTAATTTCATTACATTCACATCTCATAGGA